ACCATGAGATGCGTTTTGGAAAATAAAAATAGTACTGAAAAAGCTATGACGGGGCTGTCAAGATAGACGGCGCTGAAGAAAGCGACGATGAGTCGGACGATACACCGGATGAGGGAAATGCATCCAATTTAATGGACTATATAGCAAACTTATTATAATTTTGTAATAAAAACTGAATGAATGTTCACTTCAGTTCACTTTATTACAAAAATAAAAATAAAGAGAGCTTATTCTTCTAAAAATTCACTAAGTATTCAAGTATTAAAAAGAGAGCTTATAGTATTCAAGTTGAATACAACACATAGTATTTTCCACTTCAAGAATTAGTAGTCTCATCAGAAATTCTTTTTGCGCAATACAAACCATCACATTTCAGCCTTTTTTTCTCTGAAAGTGTGTTAATTTCTCGTTAAATTTATTAAATTTGCGATTCAACTCTTTGAGTTCATATTTTATATCTTTTTTTGTGCGCACGTTCTCTTTGCCTTCTGAATTTTTTTAGGTCTTCCGCCATCGATGCCATCGCGTTGCTTTTTTCACCCATTTATTTTTTTAATGCACTCATTGAAGCTAGGCTCCCGGCGACGTTTTGGTCTGCTGGCTACATTAGGAATAGGAGCAGGGGTAGTGAGAACGCTCGGTCTCTCATTCTCGTTAATGCTTGATTCTTCCTCGTTTTCCTCTTGCGAGTTAATGACTTCGTCACAAGGCACGTAAACAAAGTTTCCACTAAGCATCATCAATAACAACCAAACATGCATTATCAAGAAATGCATTCTCAACATGTAAACAACAAACATCTGGCAATGGAATAATCCACTGCGATAACCACCGCCGCATCTCAACAATAACAAACAAGTGTAAGATCTTATATTATAAACAGTTTTAAGAATATCAATAAAGTGTACGCATTTCGGCGTAGTAATAAAAATATATTTGTTTAATTCATATCAGTTCGCCTACTAGCTCTCTCTCAATTGCATGCCACTCTTCGCCTTATCGCCTACGTACCAACTTTTAAGCAAATCTGACCATAAATACGATTTTTTGAATATATCGGTCCCTGGTCCACTTCCCGGAAAAAAATGATCATATTTGCTAATCTAGGCAAAAAGCTACCTACGTACCAAATTTTAAGCAAATCGGACCATAAATAAGATTTTTTTCGAATAGATCGGTCCCTGGTCCACTTACCGGGGAAAAAAGGTTCCTATATACTAATCTAGGCAAAAAGCTACCTACGTACCAAATTTTATACAAATCGGACCATAATACGATTTTTCGAATAGATCGGTCCCTGGTCCACCTAAATGGTGGTTGCTGAAAGCTGTTTATATACAAAATTTCATGACAATCGGATCAGCCGTTTGCGAGATTACCGGTTACAAAAAAGGAACTTCTCTTTATATAATTAGTACAGATATAGCGGTCGTCCCTCGGCAGGCAATGGCAAACCTCCGAGTGTATTTCTGCCACGAAAAAAAGCTTCTCATAAAAATACAATCGCCGTTCGGAGCCGGCGTAAAACTGTAGGTCCCTCCGCTTTGTGTGACAACATCAAGGCGCACGCCACAAGTCGGAGGAGAAGCTCAGCCAAACACTAACATATGTGTAAGTGCCAAT